AGGACCCCGCCTTCAAAAAAAAAAATAAAGAAAATTCTGGGCTGTTTTTTTTGCCCGCCCGGTTTGCCCAGGCGACCCACCCGGCCCCGCCCGACTGGGCCTAGCCCGGCCGGGCGGCGTCCGTACTCAGCAAATTACCACTTATGGTATATTTAGTGTAAGCAAGTTCTAAGATCACATCCTTCGAATAAAATCCAGTTGAAAAAGGAAATCCAATTAAAGACATGATGCCTATTATCATGATAGCATAAGTAAAACGTAACAAAGAATACATGGATGACAGTGCTTTGTTGTTCTGGTTGGTTTGTGTGCAGGTTGTTGTTGTGTATACAGATGAGGACGAAGCAGAGCTGAACACATCTTATTCGTTTCCAGTTTCGCATTTAGCAAATAATCCTGAATCTGATAGCGAGTTGGATGATTCAGACTTGGAATCTGACGAAGATGAGGATGAAGACGAGGAGGATGAAGATGATGATGAATTTGGTGGCCTGAGGGTCCGAGGTGCAAGGACTAGAAGAGGACAAGACACTGTAGATAGGCAAGAGAAGCGAAGGCGACAGAAGCAGAGGGTAGAGTACTACGCTAGAGGGTCTTATTATGGCCGTCCAAGTGGATGCATCATGTACGATATTGCACATCAGCTGCGGAGAAACACAAACGAGCTACTTTGGTGAGTGAATATACAGTTGGACACCTGCCTTTGCCTTCTTCTTCTTCTTCTTCCTCTTCTTTTTTTTCTTTTTTTCCTTTTTCCCTTTGCCTTCCTTTTCGCAAATGCATGTTTCACCCGTCCTTGAACCCCTTTGAACCTCCAACCAATTGGTCATTTATGTTCATGGATTATATTTATGGGTGTTTACCGGTCAATCTAACACAAAGGATTTCCCTTCTTGTTCTTAGCATATCTTGTGTCTCTATTATTAAGATGCCTTGATGTCTTTCCACTCACTCTGTAAATTAATTGGTTAAAAAACCGCCTTCTTGAGTGTGTATGTTGTCCACAACAGTCTCCGAGTTTCAAAAAGACAAAAAGAAAAAAACAAAGTTATCAAAAAGCTTCCTCCTTTGGGCTCCCTCAGAAATCGGAGATGGTTAGTCTATGCATCCTGCTGCGATGGTGGACTGTGCCAGTGGGACTGCTTAACTAGGTCAATTCCTGTCTTCGTCCCTCCCCTCCATCCCTCCATGCTCTCTCTCTCTCTCTCTCTCTCTCTCTCTCTCTCTCTCTCTCTCTCTCTCTCTCTCTCTCTCTCTCTCTCTCTCTCTCTCTCTCCAACCTCCCACCGTCTTACTGTCGGAAACGTCACTGCTAGATGCTGACAAAATACAGTTAATTGGAACTTGGAAGGCGGTGTTTGTGTCAATAGCACCCCTAAAGGAGGGACTTTCGATGCAACAGGAGATATATATTCCCAAAATAAATATCTTGAATTTGTTCAAGTTTTTTGAAGTTTTGTGACTTACCTGGGTATGCCTGGCACCTTCCGCTGGTACTTGCATTTCGTGATATGAGCCTGTATATGCCATCAGGGATACATTGATGAGCAGCTGTCCTGGTACTCTAGCCAGCGTCATGCTCTTGTTTTTTCACTGGATTTGAGCTCTGAAGAGTCTGAACGCATTTAGAGACATGTGAAAACTGTTTAAACTTTAAATTGTTTACCATTCACATAGTACCTGTGAGGTATTTGAGTTGGCAAGGTTGAAGACGAGGTTTCGATCTGCCGACCATTAATAAGATAGCATTGGCAAGGTTGAAGATGAGGGGTCAAATTGAGTTTTGCATTATGCAACCTTGAAGACCGGTCAAGCGGAGAGAGAGACTCCTCAAATATCGGCTGCCGACTATACAGACGATGATGACGTATTATGAACGTCGGCTAATGACTACGTGGATGATGAGCTGTTAGGAATGTCGATGATGATGCCTACGCGAAGGACGATGTGTAATCCCTGTAATGAATATTGACTGGCGAGTATGTGTGTCAATACTGTGATCTGTCATGTGGGGATGGGTATGTAATCACTGTAATGAATATTGGATTATGTATGTTTTGACTGTGCTGCAGGTTATCGTGCGTGTCATTAACGGATCATTTCATCCATGAACGGTTGACGCATGAGCGCTACCAGGCAGTCACGATGGAGCTTGAGCAGCAGGTAAGTCGATGCCCGGGCGTCTTCTCCACATCTAGATTGCAGTTGTGTTTTCTGAGGTTTACTGCTTGGGTGATCCTTGGTTGATTTGGAAAGAAATGGGTGAGAAGTGTTGCGAGTGAAAGCGGAAGAGACGGGATTGTTTTTTTGTTTTGTTTTGTTTTGTTTCCCTTTCTTTTCTTAAAACTTTTCATGGAGTAACTCATGGACACCATTACGTAGAAGGGCCTGCTTTTTCCTGAGCTGGTGACTGGGTAGCCAGGATGTTTCCCTCTCAGACTGCCAAAAACTCGTTAGGCTTGGCAGGTTAGGTCTGGATGTGTGGTGTGGCTTGGACCACCACTAAAATAGGAGGGCCTCTTTTTTCACGAAGTGCTGATTGCAATAGGCCCGGATTTTGCTTTTTTTGCACTGTCGGAGAGTGGTATGGTATTGTACCTTGTTCATCTTGGCAGGTAAGATCAAGGTGTAGTAGTGATTTAAAATCATTTAACCCACACAGCCCCCGCATTTTCCCTTTTTGGTGAAATGGCCAGGGGGGGAAGGGTCTGGGATCTCTTTCACAAGAGACTTCCAACTCTTCTTCCTGGACTGGTTCACACTCCATTCCCCCCCTTCCGAACTAGTGTGAAGGGGGGTTGCAGGGGTGGTGGGGAGCATAGATGGAGTGCTGTCTCTTATACACATCTAGATGTGTATAAGAGACAGGTTCATAGCAGTATATTAGGAAGGATAGGTGCGAAA